AAGAAGAAGAAGAAAAAGAAGAAAAAGAAGAAGAAGAAAAAGAAGAAGAAGAAGAAGAAGAAGAAGAAGAAGAAGAAGAAGAAGAAGAAGAAGAAGAAGAAGAAGAAGAAGAAGAAGAAGAAGAAGAAGAAGAAGAAGAAGAAGAAGAAGAAGAAGAAGAAGAAGAAGAAGAAGAAGAAGAAGAAGAAGAAGAAGAAGAAGAAGAAGGGAAAATAACTTAGCGTCCTCTAGGAAAAGAGCAACATAACCCACGTGCTCCTACTCAAAATATAAGTGGTTCATAAATGGAAATTAAAAGAAGGCTGTAACCTTATAGTGGTCTTACTCGAAAATTAATTCAATCAAAATCAATAGAACATACTTCAACAAGAGCCTGTTTAAACTGGAAACAGTTATGGGAAACAAACCCATAAGGAAACAGTGAAAAGGACTGCACGAAGATCTTTGAACTTTTTTACTCTTTGTTTTACCTTAGGGCTATCCAAACAATACCTTTGAGTGAGGGGAGTTCCCCCTACTATTCTCATTCAGTTTAATTCAAAATAAATTACTTAATCAATTTTTATAGCTGCCCATCTTAACAATGACGCCAGGTTGCTAGTGGTATTTCAAGTAGGGTCCTTGGTGCTCTCCAAGCTTGGTTGCTTTCTTGCAGACATTTTATTATCAAACTAGATAATATCATCAGGTCCAGTGCTGATGATCATCAGCGCTGGATCTGTTTGGTAATGAAATATCTGCAAGAAATCACCAAGCTCACAGAGCACCAAAGATTCCACAGTTCTGTACTGAGCTACCAATATTCTCTTCTATCAATATTTCAGGTTCTATTCCCACAATGGTGAATATATTGGTGAAATTTTCATGGGTGGGCTATGACATTCTTGGACTCCCTTTCCAAAAGGTAACCAAGCATAGATCATCTTCTGGGAATTAGGAGCCTCTCTGACATCTTACAATTTTAAATATATCCTATGGGTGGGTTATCATGACAGAATGGCTCCTATAGGGTTTCTTCAGATAGGGGAAGAAGAGGCATGGGATTTGTAAGAGGATAGATCACAAGAAAGAAAAACCTTTACATTTC